AGAGCTGAATCAAACCTAAAATAATATAAAGTAAAATGAGGTACATATAGCCATCCCTTCGAGGCATCAAATCACCAAAACCAACCTGAAGAACACGAAGCATTTTCTACAAACAACTCCTTAAGTTTTTAAAAGAATGGTAAAACAATGATTTATTTAAATGAAAAAAGTAGCTTTACTTTCTTCCCAAAAATCAAAAGCATGATTCCGTCACTCTGAACTTCCAGCCAATTTGCTTTTAAGCGATCCTCAAAAGAGGGAGGCATCGACGATCTTACTTTCAACTCTGCTTGGCAAGTCAGCCCACATTATAAAAGGGGTTTCATATTTAGCAGTGTTTATCAGCAATATGTGAGCCGAGAGGAATCGTGGGGAAAGGGGGTGGGGGAAGGGAGAAGCTGGGAAGAGGAATGAGGGCGGGGAGTGAGAGTACAGTCTTTACATTTGATTTAAATTGATAAGGTGGAAAAAGCTCGTCAAACAATTTCCTTCTAGCTTAAACGCTCCAAATTCACGTACTTAAATAATAACAGCAACACATTTACAAATTTTGGATTAGAACGATCAAATGTTGTATAATGGTGCTAGCTGAAAATTAAAATCAAGAACTTACCGTGGTCATAGTGATAAATGACCAATAAAATGAAGTGAAAAAGCTCCAGGGCTCCAAATGGGACATGAGAACACCGCCAAGTGCCGTATACGCAACAAGTATCATTAGAACTAACATTGCCGGTATCCTGAAAAACAATTCCAGCAAGTAATGAAGTGTGCCAAGAATTTTAGGAGTAAGTCCTGTCCTACTCTTTTGTAAGAGCAGAGACACCAGACGCAAAAAGAAAAATACGGGTGGTTTTTTAGTTTTTTATTTCAAAGAATTTTTTACCATTCATCATGCCAAGAATACCAAGAACACCGGACGATCGATATGGGCACCTCGTGCTAGTATTGTTACTAAGAGTCACTTCGATATGATCGACTAAACACGCAGTCAATTTCGAATTTTCAAAAATTTTAAACATTGATGATTCCCATTTCTACCCACATGCACTGCTTTGTTTGTGTTTACAGTTAAGGGATGAAATTTAGAATGTTTCTTATGGCTTCTCCACTGTTTTTAATATCCTGATCAATCCGATCTAGTACAAATTTGCGTACCTCTGCTCCTCGATGAAGTGTATGTTGTTGGT